CACCACCACACCCAGCTAATTTTGTATATTTAATAGAGACGGTTTCGCCATGTTGGTCAGGCTGGTCTCAAACTCCTGACCTCAGGTGATCTGCCCGCCTCAGCCTCCCAAAGTGCTGGGATAACAAGAGTGAGCCACTGCACCCGTCCTGTATCTGTTTCCTTAAACCCTTTCCATTTCTATAAAATCAAAAACAAAAATTTTACCATGGTATATTTTTCATTGTGTACTAGAGAGGGAAATGCCAGAGATATAAGCAAAAACCAGATATCTGCCTGAGAGCTCCATCTAGTCCTAAAATGGTGACCCTCCAGGAAGGGCACTGTGCCCCCTGTGGGACTCAGGGATTCGGAGGACGAGCACAGTATTCATTACAGCCTCGGATTGGTCCTAGAGGACTCTGACACTAACAGGATCCCAGACCACAGACTTCATGTTTCAAGATTCAACCATGTTGACTCATTTTCACTGTGTTTTTCAGTGGTATGGGTATATGTCAGTTTATCTATTTTACTATTCATGAACATGTGGGTGGTTCCAGCTTTCATTATTATATATGATGTTGCTATGAATACTCTTAAACATGTCTCCTGTACATGTGCAAGAGTTTCCCTAGACCTAGGAGCAGAACAGCTGGATTGGAAAATATGCAGATATTTACTGTCTTGGATGAATGGTACCAATCTATGCTTCCAGCAGCAGTGTATGGCAGCCCCTTATCCTACTCCCTGTCAGCATTTGATACTGATACAGTGGGATAGCTTGAACACAGGGTTTTGTGCTTTTTTTAACTGGGTGATCTCAGATCCTGATTGCTGTTTCACAGATGTAGGCAAGGGTTCACATTTGGCAATGACCTGTGGCTTCCCCCTGTGAAAAGAAAGGATTGGCCGGACGCAGTGTCTCTTGCCTGTAATCCCAGCACTTTGGGAGGCCGAGGTGGATGGATCACTTGAGGTCAGGATTTTGAGACCAGCCTGGCCAACATGGTGAAATCCTATCTCTACTAAAAATACAAAAATTAGCCAGGCGTGGTGGCATGCATCTATCGTCCCAGCTACTCAAGAGGCTGAGGTAGGAGAATCGCTTGTACCAGGAAGCAGAGGTTGCAGTGAGCTGAGATTGTGCTACTGTACTCCAGCCAGCCGGGGCAATACAGTGAGACCCTGTCTCAAAAAGAAGAAAAAAAAAGAGAGAGAAAGGATTAACTGATGGCCAACTGTAGCAAAAAGGCTAACTAAACTACACTATCCTTAGGCTGGGCATGGTGGCATGGAGATCAACCTGGCCAACATGGCAAAACCCCGTCTCTACTAAAATTACAAAAATTAGCCGGGCATGGTGGCACTTGCCTGTAATCTCAGCTACTTGCTTGAGAATCACTTGAATCCAGGAGGCGGAGGTTGCACTGAGCCGAGATCACATCACTGCACTCCAGCCTGGGAGACAGAGCAAGACTCCATCTCAAAAAAATAAAACTAAACTATACCATCCTGGATGTTTTTAGCTTCACAGTACAAAAATTCATATTATTTTTTTTTTTTTGAGATGGAGTCTCTCTCTATCACCCACGTTGGAGTGCAGTGGCACCATCTCGGCTCACTGCAACCTCCGCCTCTTGGGTTCAAGCGATTCTTCTGCCTCAGTCTCCCGAGTAGCTGGGACTACAGGTGCCTGCCACCACGCCTGGCTAATTTTTGTATTTTTGGTAAAGATAGGGTGTCACCGTATTGGCCAGGTTGGTCTCGAACTCCTGACCTCGTGATCTGCCCGCCTCCGCCTCCCAAAGTGCTAGGATTACAGGCGTGACCCACCGTGTCCAGCGAAAAATTAAAATTCTGAAGTGATAAGAGCCCTTATTAATAATATTCCTGACTTTAAACAATCCTGCCTCAGCCTTCCAAAGTGCTGAGATTACAGGTGTGAGCCACCAGGCCATGAATCTTCTCAACTATGTGATTAGGTTCTTTTTATGTTTATTTATGTTAATGATAATACTATTAATAATATGTAATTTTTATGGGACTTATCAGAGAAATAAGCTGAAAAGTTACCGTTCTTTCTTTCAACAGAATTCTAAACTCCCATCTGATCTTAGGAAATGTCATGATATTCAGAACATTTACAAAGCTACTTAGCAAAGGAAACTAATCTCAATGCTTAGCTTTCCTCAATTATTGTTTTCTTCTCTTTTCTCCATTTTAACCCTTATTTCAGACTCTTTCATCTATTTCAGACAATCTATTCTTGTAGATTGTCTTAGTCCTTTGGGGCTGCTATTATATAACAAAGCACCGAAGACTGTGTCTTATAAACAGCAGGAATTTCTCTCTCATAGTTCTGGAGGCTGGATGAGGGCAGATCAGGGCACTAGCATGATTCTGGTAAGGGCTCTTTTCCAGGTAGCAGACTACCAACTTCTCGTTGTATGCTCATGTGGCAGAAAGAGAGGTAGAGAAAATTCTGTGGGGTACCTGAATCCCATTCATGACCTATTTACCTCCCAAAGCCCTACTTCCTTACACCAGTCGTATTGACGGTCAGGATTTCAATATGAATTTGGGGTTGCAGGAGATACAAACATTCAAGCTATAACTTTTTTTTTT